CAGTTAGCTTTGCCCTAGCCCTTTTTTTCTCTGAACTCCTTCTATCTCTAAAAAAAGCCAGCCACCATATCACTCAAATCATATTCTTTTTGTCAACTCCATCGTGGAACTGACGGCGTGTAACCCCGACGGCGACGGTGGAACGCGACGGCGAGAACCCAGATCCGACGATCTCCGACCCGTGGGTAATTTTCCACGTTCATCTTGGCTGAAGCCGGGGATGTTTCTAAATTTGTTTTTGTTTATTATTTATTGGCTTGATTTGTATTCTAAAAAATGAGGGCTGAGTACTCTCGTTCTCTATTTCTTCACTGGTATGTCAATTTCTTGCCTTGATTTTGGGTTTTTCATTTCGGGGAGGGGTTCTTAGTGTTGGGTGGGTTAAGGGTTGGGGGAAGAGGGTGATGGTGAGACTCTCGGAGGTGTTTTTTGGTGGTTGAAAGATCAGCGACCTCTGTAGCGTGTCATTGTGAAAGTACACTTTTCTCTAGTTTTCGGGAGTATCTTTTCAATTAATATGCTGTCGAATTATGTATTCGCCAGACATTCTGTTTGTATAATATTTTCTAAACAATTTCTGGAATAGGGGTCCCGAAAGTTTAACCCAGCGCACTTAAGGATTGGATGATGAACTTGGGGTTCGGCATTGTCATCAGCGAACTCTGCTTCTCGACTAAGCTGTGAACTTGTCAAAACCTGCCCAACCTAACCACTCACCACGGATCGAATCAGGTATTTGGCGTTCTTTCTCCCTGTGTGTGCGTGCCTCAGCTTGGGTATTTGTTAAACTTCCATTGAATCTAAAAGCTTAAGCCAATGGGTTTCAGTAAATTTTGATGGATTCACTTTTTCTTAAAACCAAGGCATGGGATAATTATGATTAGTCAATTATAATTTCTAGAATTATTCTCCAAAGAACAGGTTTATGGGGGTGGGGACAATTAATTTGATTGTTCTCCAAGTTCTTATTGATAAAATGATACACTTTGGCTTCAATTTTTGTTCTAATCCAATTATTATTTAATAATACAAGACAATTTATTATCATACTCCTGTGTGGTATACAGCAATAGAAAGATGACCTTGTTTTGACATGGATGCCGATGCACTGTAATGTGATGCTGTATTTGGTTCATGAACTTAGAATTTTTATTATCAAGTTCAATTTGTTGTATGACCCTTCATTGATTTTGTTTACTCAGTAGTTGTTTGGTATTAGGAATTGGGAACCAATAATATCACTGTATGGTGGACAATGGACACTATATACTCCCATTAATATATTGACACTGCTACTGAAACTTGCTATTTAAAGGTTGGACAGAAGGCTCATTTGCATTCTTCATAATCTTTGTGCAATGAGAAGTTTCAGTAGCTTTGGTGTTGGATAAGTACTAATTGCGTGTTTGCAAGTTCAGTGATCAGGAAATAACACTTTGGTTTCTTTTATTTATTGCATCCCTTTCCTGCAAGTTCTTTACAGACTTCACTTGTTGAAGCCTAATGCATAAATAATGTTTTTGCTTCATTTTATTTTGAAATAAAAACCTTCTGAATATTTCCCTTGGTAAAGTACATAGGGAAGACCGGAATAGAGGATGGCTACTAATAGCCTGAAGAGTATTATTGCTACAGCAGTCAATATGGGAGTGACAGAGGCAAGGGCAAGGATATTTGGTCATGTACTTAACCCAACAGGTCAACGATCAACCCACAAGCTTTTGCGTAAAAAACTCATTGGCGATAAAGTATCTCAGTGGTATCCATACGACATCAAGAAGGACGATCCTCTCGTTATGGCTCGTCAAGAACAAGAGTACCCTCTCTCTCATATGAATTTTCCCAGTGAATATATTAACTATCAAGTGGTATTATTAGGAGAAGGGGTGGTTTGTGTAAAGGCTGCATGTGAAGATTTTAGTATTAAAAATGGGGGGTAAATTGCAAAAGCTAACCCTATACACAAGGGGTTGATTTGTGCAAATATATATATTTTTTCTGTTAAACTGAATTAAAAGGATACTTATTGAGGATAATATTTGCATGCAGCTTAAATTGGAGGAGTGATATTTGTATACGAGCTGCAAGGACATAATTTGCAAGTTGAAAAAAAAATATGATGAAATCAACATTTTAACAAGATCACCTTCATGTGGGAACTTGGAGTATACATGTTACTTGTGAAAATGAAGTTACAAACAATGCATGCTTTTGTTAATTAAGATCTGAATCTTTATGTAATTTGGAAAAGGGAATCATCATGAGAGTTCCGTCGGGGTTTAGTGACAGAGTTTCAAATGTTTCTCACCTGCTAAAATGAGGGCAACGTCTTATCTGGGTTTTTTACTTTTAAGTGGCTAATCAATTACATAAACTTGGAAAGCTTGGTGATTGATTTTATATATTGTTATTCAATTGTTTTGGTGTACTTTCTGCCTCGTATTTGCAACTTATTGGTCAATAAACTCTTCTCAATATCCTGATTATATCTGGCATCCACTTTGCTAGGCGCTTGTCCAAGCTTGAAATGCTGAAGCGGCGTGGTAAGGGGCCGCCTAAGAAGGGCCAAGGCAGGCGTGCAGCCAAGCGCAATAAGTAGAGACAATGACTGTGGAATTGTTCCTTCTACGGCTTTATTATTTTGTTGTTTCTTCTTACCTAAGTTTTAGGTTATAGACCAGGTTCCTCATAGTTGTGATGACTTCTATTACTTGCAGCTAATATTTACTTTGATTTTATCTAGTTCATAATTGAGCTCCTTGGTAGCAGTAGATATATTGTGAAACAAATCAGCATGTGACGCTATTGGGAAAACTGATATGTATTAATAGAATGATAAATTTCTATTTTGAAGAACCAGTTTCTAGAATTCATTACCATGTTCAAGATCAAACGGGATATGTATGCATGTAATTCTTCACTAGAGTTTTGTTTCATAAGAAATTCTACAAGACTGCAAATATGAGCAGGTCCAAATGTGATAATTTGATTGCCTTGAAACTGAATTGCACATTATTCTTAAACAACGTCTAAATCTAAGGACCCGCACTGGGCTTGGTTTCTTCTTTAGCCTGCTGTTGTGTAATCAATTTGTCTTGTTGATGAGCCATATCATAAGTTGCATGAAGACCAAAGAAAACATAGTAGATAAGCATCACTAGTGTGCAGATTCCGAATCTTTCAAAAGCCTCCGGACCCAGTGATCCCATGAGAAAGATGTTCATTGCGATCGACAAACTCGGCAGCCACGGCACCAGTGGCACCCCCCAAACTTTCGGTTTTCTTTGCATTGGCAGAAGCAATGAGATCCCCAGAGTCCCCAGGAACCATATCGGGACGGTCACGGCATATCCTATCCAACCATTCGGATAAAGCCCCCAGTATGCAGCAGTTCCTATGGAGGAAGCAATGATGGTTAACAGGAAAATGAAAAGCTTCAACTGGTTTAACCGTGGAGTGACCCCTTTTGCATAGTATCTCCTAACCAGAAGAGCCACCGCCATCATCATGAAGACAAATAGTGTGCTGACCGACAACAAGCTCGCCAGAACGTCCAAGCTAGAGAAGAAGGCAATGCAGCCACTCGATATGGCAATCAAGAGTGTAGCATTTATGGGAGTTCCAGTCTTGGGATGGACAAGAGCAAACCAAGGAGGAATCATGTGGGCTCGTGCAATATGAGTTGTATACCGAGCTTGCCCAAGCGCCCCGACCAGAAGAACAGTGGTCATTCCCTTTAGAGCACCAAGAGCCACCAAATACTTGGCCCATTTCATTCCAACCCTCTCGAAGGCAACAGAGTAGGCTGCACCTGGGTCTATGTCAGTATACTTCTGCATCATACTCAGCGACAGTGCCATCAAGCAGTATATCACAGTGATTATCGACATCGATCCCAACAATCCCAAAGGTATGTCTTTCGATGGATTTTTAGTTTCCTCAGCCATGGTGGCAATGTTATCAAAACCTCCATAAGCAAAGTAAACAATTGCAGCAGCTTGGAAGACGCCTTTAGCCCCAAAAGGCACAAAGGGAGTCAGATTTGATTTGTCTGCGTGTATGAATCCTGCGATTATGACAAACAGAATCACCACTGTATTGACTGCAGAAGCAATCCAATTCAGGTATGAAGTCTTCCTCGTGCTGATCATTGCCATTGTTGCAGCAATCGCCAGGACCGCTACGGCAATGGGGTCGAGAAGATTGAATCCCTCTTTGAGATTTGTGTGGATGCGCAACGAATCGCTGGGTCGGTCCAGAAGTGAGGTAAAGTAAGAAGTCCACGCTCGGGAGACAGCGGCAGTGCCGACGATGCTCTCGAGGAGAATGTTACCAGCAGTAATGAAAGCTGCAAAGTCCCCCAATTCAATTCTCAGGTATGCAAAAGAGCCCCCTGCAACTGGGATTTCTACTGCGAACTCTGTGTAGCAGAAAACAGAGAGCATTGCTGAAATGCCAGAAGCAACATAGGAAAGAACAATGGCTGGTCCAGCATGTTTGTTAGCTTCTTGGCCTGTGAGGACGAAGATTCCAGCGCCAATTACAGCGCCAAATCCGAACCAGGTGAGATCCCACCATGTGAGGCAACGTTTCATTTCATTCTCACTTCGTTTCTTCAGCTCCCCAATCTCATTTTCGTCGAATGATCTACTCTGGAGACGGTCCATGAATCGAAACCATGTCTGTGACAGGGCAGTGCCGTAGTTGCTCCAGCTCTGGAAGGATTCTTCTGGTAAGAAATCTTGTTTGCTCCATCTCCACCAATAGCTTCTTTGCTGTTGAAAACTTTCTTCGCCCATATTGATATCTATGGAAATGGCGCAAAGGAAGAGGGAGAGGTCTATGGATAAGAATCAGATCCAATATTGTCTATATAGAGGTTTAATCACCAGTACTGTTCTGCTGCTGCCTCGACGAAAAGTCTGGCATTCATTATCGATTTTGACAAATAAAGAAGATGGTTTTGAAGATGACGATGGTGGGTTTGGGTTTCGCCCACAATTACTTGAAATTGGTCCTACTTGTCCCATCTCCAATTGGCCGTCTTGCAGAGAGATTTAAATGCTCATTTCACGGCTGTCTTTTTCAATTGCTCTTCCATTGACGTTAGGATCGAAGACTTCCTAGTCAACTTGTTTGGCTGTGACTGGCTCAGCACAGTGGTTTCTCAATTTGATCCACAACCACATGACTTGAGATTTTGTTCCCACTCCCAATAGATTCTTTTATCAAATTACAATTCTATTAATGTTTAGATTAATACGCTTTTGTTTGTTTTCAAAATATCTTCATGTTTACTGTGCAGCTACCTGGCCACCAGGTTCCTTCCAAATATAAAACGCTGGAAGATACAATCCAACACTTCACGAAGAAGAAGAGAAGAGCGAAGAGTGAGTCATATTCATATTCATACATTTTGTTTCTTCACTTGAGAAACCACAAACACACGAACACGCAGAGACAGTATATTAATAGAAACATAGTACAGAGTACAGAATTGAGAGACGGTTGGTGGATTGAAAGTTGTGGGCGGGCTAGATGAGCGCCAACTGTTGGATATTGATGGGGTAGGAATCGGAGGGCGGGCCTCGGAAAGCTCTGCCGGCGAGCACGGCGGAGGCAGCCTCCGTTGGGTGGAAGGCATCCCAAAACACGTGCTCGTTGCGGTTCAGGCATGGAAATTGCAGCGGGAGACACGTTATGACTCCTCTGTTCTGCCCCACTCCACAGCACGCTGTGTCCACCACTCGAAACCCTGCATTTCACACTCATTAAAACCAGTTGCCCCCCATTTGATCTTCTGCTGAACATAAAATCCAAAAATGGTCTCACCGTAGGTATCAGGGTTGTTCAAGATGTCGCCGAAAATGCCATAGACGTTGGTGTAGACGAAGGTGGAGTCAGGGTTCTGGGTGTTGAGCTGAACCACAAGGGATCTCAGCCCTTCATTGAAATCTCCGAGCATCTGGTTCACATTGTCGACGCACCGGCCGGGAAGGCCGAGCCCAGTGGCCCTCTGGTTCGGGATGCAGCCCAGCGGCCCCACTCCGGCGACCACGAACTTTCTCAACCCCATGCTTTGCAGAGCCTGATTAAGAACACGATCAATTAAAGATTAAATTTTGGGAAGTGGGTTTGTTTTGGATTGTGAATCAGAAGATGTGGCTCACGAGAAGCTGGCGAGCGTAGTGGTTGAGGAGGAGATTGGCGAACTGAGGAGCGGTGTATCTGAGCCTGGAATTGTATAGAGTGGGCATGAGGTAGTTGTTGATGTAATCGTTGCTTCCAAACGCCAAAAAGGCTATGGATTTGCATAGATAATTTGTGAGATTCCCACTGCTCATCGTTCGCCTTAAGTCGCTCACAGTGTTTTCGAAGTTCACCACTTGCTGGCTCAGGCTGTACCTCTCCCCCTACGCTCACACACAACAACATATTAGTTTTTCAGCCGATTGCCACTTCAATTGTATTAGTTCTTTGTACTAAAAAATGCGTTGGTTTGTGAAATTTTAATTTTGTGTTTAATTGGGATTATGTTATAACTCTGTCATTTTAAGATTTACTTGTAGTAATCAATATATATATATATTATTTGTCATGTTACCTATATTAAAAATAATAAGATAGTTTTTTATAACTTTTTTTTTTAAATGGGTAAGAATAATCGTGTTCTACACAATTTTTAAAATTAGCAACACTGTTCTCAAGAGGACTTTGACCAAAATTAAATTTATATTTAAATATTATTTTGATACGTGTATTTTTTACTTTTGGTTCTTTTATTTTTAAAATATTCATTTTAGTTCGTGTATTTTTTTTGTTTATTTTAATTATTAGTCTCTTTTTATGTTTATTTTAGTTTCTATACTTTTGAGAATTGAACAAGTTCATTTTGATCATAATCTTAGCATGATATTTTATCCACTCAATTTTTTGGAATGTAGTCATAAATGTATTAAAAAAATTTCATTGTATATAAAATTTGTGTTAAAAACTACTATGCACAAAAATTAAAAATACAAATACCAAAGTGAATGTTTTTAAAATATAGCTACCAAAATGAACCAAATCAAAATATATGGACGAATTTGTTATTCACATTTTATTACCTGTACTTGAATTTATGATTTAGTTCTGAATTTTAATTTGAAACAATTTAGCTAATATACTTTTAAATTTAAAATGATTTAGTCTCAAACTTTTTAAATTCTTTAAAAAAGTTTAGTAGTTCTAATCATGGAAAACTTGTTAAAAGTCCATGAACTTTCATTTGCATCGATTTAATCCTTTTTTTTCATACACAACTCGTAAAGTTACAGTTTTAGAAAACACAGACTTTTGAATAGAATACTTACGTAGTGTCTGCCGGTCTCGTCGAGGATGCCAGCAGCCGCGGAAGCGTAGTTGACCCCATGAAGTATTTTGTCTCCGGTAGTGTCTGGATTCGCAAATTCCGGAGCATTGGGAATTCGAAGCATGTCCACTGCCACCCATCAACAATTTCATTTCATTATAATATTATTTATGAAAATATTGATAGAATTATCGAGACGTAGTTGAATATATATATATATATATATATATACCAAACATATCGATAACAGTTTGGCCATTGGAGAATCTGCCAGTAGGACCAGCATGATAATCAACCCCATAAGGGTAGAAATTGGCTCTGGCAGCCGAGTGAAGAAAATTATTGTTGCCAACATCCACCAGAGAGTCCCCAAACACGAAGACCGACGAAACCCCATACCGATAGCGATACTCTGCCGAAACCATCTCTTCGGAACACTTCATGAGCACGAGAACGAGAACAAGAGTAGAGGCAGCAGCGCCGAAACGACGCCGCTGGGTGATCATGTTCTTCAAACCTTCAAATTTTCTCATTAGGAAGTTTTGTGGAGATCAGGGGAGGGGCAAGGCAATGAGGGTGTTTGGGGAATAATGTTGATATTATGTGTGAGTATTTATAGGCAACTACTAGAGAAAGGAAATTTGTTTTGTTGGGGTTAAAATAATGGAGGAATTTGTGGATTTACGGCAGTGATTAGGGTAAAAAGTTTATAACGGAAAAGTTTGTCAGTTATTTGGATGGCGTAATTCAGGTTTTTGGCTCATGCGCTTCCTGCTTCATCACCCCATGAATGAGGGGAACTAATTTCATGTATATCGTTTACAAGGGACAGGTGTGGTTCATGCATAAATCTCTATATGTACGTTTTGTAACTGCTTCTCTTTACCCAACATACATACATATGATCCCATAAGTGTGTATTTTTCAATGTTGGATCACTAAAAGTGCTTGTTTCAAAAGCGGTAGGGTGTGGTTAAAAGTTCTTTTCAAAATTTTTTTGCCATAAAATTTGGTTTCAGAAATTAAAAGAGTGCTTTTAGAATAAATTTTTAACTGTCTAGTTTTTTTTATTGAAACTTTTGTTTGTGCACGAAATCTCTTTTACAAAGGATCACGCGAATCCATCTTGAAGTGTAGAGGAAATTGCAAGATAAGAAATGAGTACTTCGTTACGTTGCTCAAGTCAATGTACGTCGAAATAAGAGTAAAGATTTTTTTTTGCTATGATTCATAAAATGTAGTTTTTAAATTTTTTTTGAACAAAATTTGATTCGAGAAAAAAAAATGGTTTTAGAAGAAGTTTTTAACAAGTTTAGCCTTCCGTCGAAGTGGTTGTTTGTACACAAAATATCATACACAAATAATCACACGAATTTTTTTTAAATTGTAGAGGCGGCCTTAAAAGACAACGAGTGACAGTACAGGTCGAAATAAGAGTAAAGGCCTTTTTTTTTGCTAGGATTCACTTACTTGCCAATATATTTTAGTCTTATTTATAGATGGTGATGACTCACTGCATAAAGAACTTCCCTTGAATCACGGGATTCTTGAGGAATTGGGCTCGTAGTTAGTGTCATTGAATGCCTCATTTCTAAATTGGCTTGCATTGTTGAGATCACGACACAGGTGGACCGGCCAAGCTAGAACGGAGGTTGCACATCGCTGGCGCACTCGGACTCCCTTATCCGACCTGATAGCGTCTTTAGACGGAGTCTTCCATCTTCCTACTCCGACGATGTGACAAATGGTGGTCGACTTTTACCCCTACAAGAGTGTTTATACAGCAAGTGCTTCATTTATTTTTTAAAAAAATCAGAAACTAAAGTTATTAGATATAGTTCCATCATTTAATATGTTTTTAATTATATTTTAAAATTAAAAATTAAAAATATATATGCATATACACACAACTTGTGATTTTTGTGCATGTGAAGACGGGAGAAGTTAATTTTTTGTATTTGTTATTTGTTAAAACTTTACTCACGAACAAACTACAGGATTTAAAGATAGTTTAGAGCTGTGATAAGAGAATTGGTGGAAATAATTAAGAATCTACTTGACCAATGGAGTTGAATTCTTATCCAAATGTGCTAGCCAACCATACAAGTTGTAGATCATATTACCAACATTTTTCTACTCTTAAGAAAAAAAATTATAGATAAAGATAAAAAAGTATCGTTAAATTATAAGTTTAGTTTGCTTATCTCGTATACAAATAATTTCAACATCTCTAATGACTTGTTTCATATACAAATAATTTTAATATCTCTTAAAACTACACTCCCCTCAAGTGAGCTTGAAAAAAATATACAAAAACTACCCTCCTCCTTATGTTTCCATATCTCACCTTAAAAGAATGGACTGGGTAAATTTAATTCGATATCAACAACTACCATTAGTTTACAAATATTTTACTAAACACAAATTAAAACACAGGTTGAACAATTAACCCTAGTTCCTTTGAACTAATGAGTCACCCATGGTTATTCTATTTCTTACATATTGACACAAAAAATCGTGTTTTATGTCTAATTGAACTAAGTTTAATCGTATAAATTATAAGTTTGATTTTTAAAAATATTGAGAGCGTTGTATTTAACATGTTCATGACCTTTAAAAATATATTCAATAGGTCTTCAAATTTTTAATTTTCTATCTAATCCATTTTTTCAATTTTTCCTTAACTTATTACTCTTCTATTAAGTTCAATAATTTATTAGTTCAAACGACTTTAAAAAGAAAAAGAAAAAGCTCTAAAAAACTTACTTGAACAAATCTATTCTAGGTTGTACTATTGTGCCTATGAACTTATTAATATATAGTTCTTTTAATCTTAGAGATCTATTAATTAAATGCAATATTAAAACTTTAACGGAAAAAAATTTGTAAACTAACCAATTTAGTATCAAAATATATACTCTAAATACATATCAATGCATTCAAATTATTTTTATACAATTCCCTGACATGAAGTTTTGAACCCAGGATATAGTTCGTTTAAGTACCTTACAATATGAAAAAGGATATAGAGAATACCTTGAAGTTTGACATATGAAAAAAGCTAAATTTCAACAAACTTTGGATTTAATTATGACTTCTTTTTTTTCCGCAAATGATTTAATTATGACTTCAGTGGTTCGTGATGTGTGCGATTACGTATTATGTAAAATTCTTCCCAAAAAGAAATTAAATTATTTCTCTGCTTCAAAATAAAATAAAAGTAAGAAATCCTTCTCGAAGAGGTGCCTAATTTTATCCGTTCAGATGTTTGGAACTTTGAACAGCCAATTAAAACTAAAAGAAATAATTGAAATAAAATAATAATAATAATAACAATCATAGTCTACGTACATAGATTTAAAATTGGTTTCTCATTTTTTGATATATAGAATCGCACATTTCAGATTACATATGGGTCATGGCAAATAACAATGGAGCCACCAAAAATTATTAACCTTTCTTTAATTCAATATCTTGACTAGAATTAACTCCATAATTATAAATTTATATGTTTCAATTATAAATAAGATTAAAATACTATTTTGATTCATGTATTTTTAGTTGAGTTCGTATTTTCATACTTTTAAAATATATTTTCATTCCTGTAATTAATATATATTTTTTCTCTATCTTCATTTATAAATTACTATCAATAGCTATTTTATATCACATTCTTTTATCTTATTTTCTTTTTTGTTTAGTGTTTAATTTTTAGTATAACTATGTTTTAAGTTTTTGTCTACATTTACTTTCTTGAACAAAAATTTAATATTTACTAACAAAAAAAATTATCATTTTTAATCTCTCTTAAAAAAGAATTATAATTCAAATACTAATTATAGTTCTTTAAAATAAAAATTGAATAAAATACGGTAACCCTTTTTCCAATATTACATTTATTTACTTTTAAAAAATTTTGGTTCAATTTTGTCTTCCATCCAAGCGAGATAATTAACATACATTTGGATCAAGAGGTTGTGAGTTGATCACTCACTTTCTCATGTACTAAAAAAATCTTATCTCCGGACCTTCACATATACTAAAAAAAATATTAACATACATTTGGATCAAGAGATTGTGAGTTGGTCACTCACCTTCTCATGTACTAAAAAAATCTTATCTCCAGACCTTCACATATACTAAAAAAATCTTATCTCCGGCGTGAAGTATTTTTCTTTTACTTTTTGGACCAGCATCTTATACATTATGATAGATCAATTTTAATGACATTTTGAATAAAGAATATGTTTGAGCAAATCGTGAAGAAATTGCAAAACTTATCGGTCAGTCGTTTTCAATACTTGAATTATTGATATATAAAATTTCCCCCACCCAATCCAACTACTACTGTACTTGCTCCGCTGCCTCAACTTTCCTCTCCCGCAATGGCTTTATCTCATCATCATCATCATCTAGTTTTCATCTGCACTCCCGCAATCGGAAACCAAGTTCCGGCCGTCGAATTCGCCCTCCGACTTGTCGCCCACGATCCCCGTTTCTTCGCCACGTTTCTCATCATCGACCTCCCCGAAAGACCCCTTGTCAATTCCTACACCCAATCGCGTCTCCGTCTCTCTCATACCAATAATAATTCTTCCACTAATTCCCATAATAATGTCCAATTCCTCCATCTCCCTCCCCTCGAACCGCCGTCCCCG